GATTCAGATCTTCGGGAAAACATGACAAAAGTTTTCTTTGAATTTTTTTAATTAATGATTAGTCAATCAAACCATGAAAAGAAGTTGGTAACCATTCACCTAGGACCTACGGTGTTCACCGTTGACAGTGATGGCCAACGTGGTTCTAGAAGAAACATGGACCGATGACGCCGCCAGCCCAAAATCCTCACCAAACAGTGACTTTTTCGGGATGCATTGGACGCTCTTGGATCTCAAATGGATTGGTATCTTTCCAAATTCGGCAATTTTGTTTGATGACGTACCCATTTACCCAGAAATGGGCCTCATCGCTGAAGATGATTTTTCGATGAAAATTTGGGTCAGTTTTTAATTGCTCCAAAGCCCATTCATCGAACGCACGTTGTTGTCTATGGTCGTTCCTGAATCAGTTGAATTTTGTACGGGTACAGGCCCAAGTCATGACGTGAAATTCGTCAAGTGGTCTGCGAAAGGTCAAGTTCTTGTGAGTGACGGGAAAACGACTGCATCGGATTCTCCTGCACACTCTCACAGACAGCGGCGATGTTTTCGGCAGATCTTGCGTTTCTTCGACGTACGGGGGTTGGTCGATCGTTTACTGAACTAGTGGACTCAAATGTATCCACCACATTGCGAATTATCCTCTCGGTAGGAAGATTATGGCGACCAGATGAGCAAAGCGCGTGGAACGTTGCTCGAAGAGAAAACCCATTTTGATAAAACAATTTTATTATTTACACGTGTTGTTGAATGCTGTATCCGTCAATGATGATTTGGCGAAATATACTGTGTTTTTTATCCTCATAAGTTTGGCAATCCTCATAAGTTCACAACGTTTCGACAAAGTCTCATTTGCCATCTTCTGGCGATGCCCGGAGTTTTACAACTAGGCTATTTCATTCGAACTCTGTTACTTTATTTGTAGGGATGGATTCTCCCATTCACCTGCCTCTCCTGCCTCTGTTATTCTACCTGTATTGTCATGTGCTGAGTTTTGCTTCTGTGGTTGTGCGGTCTGTTTGCTTTTATGAAGAGATAAAACGGGTCTCTATGTTTCTTGGTAATATTTGCTCATCTTGCTCTTGTTCATACAACTAAGTCGTCTTTCAACGTTTTTCTCTATACGTTTGCTTACTACACTGGGGATAGTAATTGGTAGATAATTTTCTAGAAGTAGATGTCTTCCTTTTTTGTACAAAGGTAAGACCTTACTTATTTTCGGTAGATTCGGAAGATGCCCTTTTGTCACTGATGAATTAATATTTCGATGAATTGGTATAATGATGATTTCTGTTTGCAAACTATCCAAACCTACAGATCCTTTATTCTTCATTTTACCGATCGCCTCTAAAACATCGTACGCAGTAATATGTATCAGTGGTGTGGATTCAAATACTAAGGTGTTGAAGACATCATCCTGGCAAGCCATGACGAACCCCTCAGTTTCCAACTTCAGCCCACTCGACCTGAGGAAAGCAAATGTCAGGCGCTTTGATAAGCCAAGGTTTCCAATGTTATTGAAGACCCCATGCATTGGCTTATCTTTGTGTTTCCGCAAAAGTGAGACTTTCATCTGAGCTTTTTGCTGAACAGGTTCCAACTCGGTGACAAAGTTGTGGTCACCTCGTTCAATGTCGAAAACTTTACAGAGTTCATCAGCTGCTCGGGCAGCTGCCCTAAGGAGAAATGCTCCAATTCCTGCTCTCTCATGGTCACAGACCATGCAGAGAAGGAGATCCGAACTCCTGACGACTTTACAGGCTATATACAGTACCATTCTGTCATGTAGACACTCCAAACTCAAAAGTCCACGGCCTTCCTGTTGTCAGGGGAAGTACAACCGTGGAACGGACAATTTTTGATGCAAACTCCTATAAAGATGCATCATTTTTCGGGTCTTTACGTCGAGTTGATACAGCTACTTCCACTACTCGTTTGGAGTAGGGAAGTGGATTATTATTATTATTATTATTATTATATAAGGTCTTCATCGATAGGAAATATGGAACTCAGTTGAAAAATTGCTCTCTTAGGTCGAAAAGAAAGCAGATAATGGTACTTCCTTGACTTTTAACGGAAAGGAAGTAAAAAATACAAAGATAATTTCAAGATGCGTGAAAAATTAAAAAGCTGTTGCATCCACCGAATCATGTAACAAATAGCCATTGATAATTAAACGGTTGCGCTTTATGCAGTATATAATTTTTATTGAAACGATGATGTTGAGGTTTTCACGCATGACTTGGAGATAAAAGTATCGTACATAGATATAGTCAGTGTGGTTGTAAAAGCGTATCGTGGGTACTAATTTATTTTAAATATGGTAAAACAAAGGAAATTTCTAATTTTGAATATCTCTAAGAATATTTCCTCACGGATAAAAGAATCGATAGAAAAGCTCACTGGAAAATATTTTTTATGAAGTAGTGAATATTGCTCAAAATTACTTTGGATTTCTATATTCGAACAACCAGAATAATAAATAAATCCAGCGCAGCCGTCTTGCTCGAAGCAATGCTGCCACCCATTTTTTGTCGAAACTTTTTATCATAAAAACAATTTTTTTCAAGTCGCCTAGTGCTCGGAACACCATTTGGTTTTTTCCACATATACAGCCCCCTTTACGTGGTTATCCAAACCACCCCGGCCTGGATACCGGCGTGAATAAAGGAGCTCCACACATGAGAACAATACTCCAAAAAAGATCTGATCTGAGCTTTATAAAGCATCAAAAGGCTCAGGATGTGGAGTGTACTCCAGATTACTAAGCCTAAGGATTAAGTGGGGAATGGGAAAAAATACCAGCGTGGTCCAGACAGAACTGGCTGGTATCTCAATCGCCACAAAAACCAGAAAAGGAATATCTGGCAAAAACATAACAATCTGCACTACCAGCAGACAAGCCCTATTAGCCTTGAACAGACAACGTGTTACCTCAGGGCTAGTACTAGAGTGCCACCAAGATTTAGCCAAAGCCTCGGTAAATGATATCATTATCCTGAGGTGGGTTGAAGGGCATTTAGAATTGCCGACTCTTTAGCCAAGGAAGTGGCTGGACTAAGAGGATAAGTAGGATTTTTGACTGACCACTGTCAACTAAGGAAAAACACCTCCATAATATGGGGCTAGTGGACACATCTCTATGCAGGATGTGTGAACTGGAAGATGAGACTATCAGGCATGTCCTATGTGAGTGCCCGAAGTTATCGTCAATAAGAGAGTGTTTGTTCGGCGAGTCTTCACCTACACCTGCCGATATAGAGGAGACGTATCCAAGTGACCTGTCCACCTTTCTGGAAAGGATAGGATAGACGATGACCTAAGAGGACAACTCCTCGGGAGGGTGTACAATGGGTCACATGTTGCCCAAGTGATGTGGGCTTACACTCACGCTCCCTACTCTACAGATACAGCATCAAAAGTTGTCGAGGTTTGTGCAGTTTTCTGGTCCGGACAGTGGCCCAAGCTTTTGAGAAGCAACCTTCGCAATTCCAGCAACATGATTGTCCTAAGACATATTGGTGTCCATTTGACCCCCAACAAACTTATCGAAGCAGTAAGCGGAATATTGTTATTGGTGAGCGTGACTTGGTTTCTCTTAATTGGATTACCTAACCTTGTTCGTGTACCTGTAAAGTCAGGTAGCCAGATTTTATTAATGTTCATTGCCTCTTCTTTTCTATTGAAAATATCCCTGTGTTTTTGAATTCCTGTTGCCTTTCTATATATAAGAGAAATTATAAAGAGGAAAAATATTTTTTTGTATGAATTAACTTGAAAACTACTTAACCGACTTCAAAAAATTACATTATTAGTATCAAAGTAACATGAGCTGTATTTTATGTTCGAAAAAGTCACGGATCCCTACGAAAAATTAAATAATGTAATCCAAGAGCTAGTCTAATTTAAATTAATATTGTAAGTAGTATTTTTGATCATATGTCTGTAAAGAATACTTTTAAAAACTACCTAACTGATTCAAAATTTCAAATTGGCTTCATTTTATCTTCTGGAGTCACTTTTTATTTCAGTTGTGCTAGGAAAATGTTGAAATATGTGTTTTCGTTAAGCAGCTCTCGCCCTCTTAAGAACGATAACCCTAAGAAGTTTAAACTTGAGCGAGCCTAGAAGCAACGAGACCCTACCTTCCATCGTGCGCTCCCTAGCACGAGCCTGCAACGAAATATGTAATCATAACACAGGACTTTGAGGTTTTCCTGTTGAAATGAAATTTACAATCAAATTATGAGTTGGACAAATATTTCAATTCACAATGGGAAATGTTCCTCAATTTGGGTTATTACAGCAAATGCAAGTGTGAACAAAGAAAAGTTGAGTTCAATTCATGAGTTTTGCAAATTCACTTCGAAAAGTATTCAAATTGATGTTTCAAATGTTGGGTTTTAATTTTTAAAGGGATTTGTTTCTAATTCACATATTGGCAACATCGCCCATATCAAGTTGAAATAATTTATACGTATCTAGATATTCTACTTCAATGAAGGAAAATTATCTTTATAAATCAACAATTAAGGCAAATTATAAATTATAATTCAATACCACCTCCACAAGCCACATAAACAACAGTTGTTTTGTTATTCATTTATATAGAGGAAGATAGGTTAGGTGCCCGAAATGTCATATGTCACAGAATGTCTCGGAACTCGGAACCTAAGTAAACAGAACAGCACGCCTCTGGAATATGTCATCTTTGTTTGTCTCATACAGGTAACAGATTCATTGTCCTTTATAAGCTATAACCGATGTTGCCAAATGGTGAAATAGAAACGTATCCCTTTAAAAATATTGAATGCATTATTTCATTCCTCTTTTTTAAGTATTTAAATAATTTTTTAAAGAAAAAGGTTGAAATGATAAGTTTAAAATGCGTTGTTTTAGAGCTCTTTTATGAAAACTACTTGATTTTTATAAGGAGGAACATTCCCCACTACCTCAAAACATAAATAATGGTCATAAATCTCGGACATTTTCTATTTCAGATTCCGGAAATCATGGAGACGACCAGAAACAACACAAAAATGACGGGATACCTGGAAAAGAAGGGAAAAAATGTAAAGTCTACCGTGAGCGAATTTCTGTGTTTTTCTCAAGTGACTATTTTTCAGAAAATGATAGGAGCGTACAAAAAATATTGGTTCGTATTGGAAGGCGGACTTTTACTCTACTACAGATCGAAAATTGACTACGACACCATTTCTCCGTTCAAAGGAAGCATCAACCTAGGTCCACCATGTACCATCAAGCCCCTGATTTCGACTGCTGGAGCATTTCAAATACAGACTAGAACAGCTATTATAACATTGGTAAATACGGTGCATTCCATTTGAAACGAGCCACCGTGAATAACTATTGGTACAATGATTTTCAGGAAAAATAAAAATCACCTCAACAATAGTATACAGAGGGGACACATTTTTAGATATTCACAATTGATGTTACTTTCCCTAGCGCTCCCCCAGAGCATGTCACCAATTTTTTTTAAAGGATCACCCTATATTGTTTCGCGTTATCAGATGCTCCATGATGAGCAGATTTCAACAAAGTACAAAATATATGGTCTAAATCAGTTTCGGGTTCGGAGCTACAAATCATTTGAGTTGAAAATGAGCCACCCTGAATAACTTTTGTAAAAATTATTCGCAGGAAAAATAAAAACAGCTCAACAACTATACAGGGGGTCTCATTTTCAAATATTCGTTCTATACTATAACAATTTTCAGTTGAAGGTGATTCATTATCACCGTCGCATTCGAAGTGACCAACGGACCAACTCTACAGAGGCGTACCAAAATAATGTTTTTATTTATTTAAACACATAGGTAATTACGTAAAAATTGTTATAGTAGGTGGCGCTACCTGGTATCAATGATAAAACTGATTACATTTTCTTATTATGTCTAATACAGTACTTCAACAGAACAAGTCACAAAATAATTATTATGTTCCTTTCATATAGAAAGAGAACTACAAAGCAAAGAAATAATTACCTATGTTATGCTTATGAAGTTTCAGAATCCATTGACTCGTCCGAAGAGGAATCCCCAGTCACACTTAAATCTATTATTATTTGGTCTACCATCCCGTCCAACCTCCACATTTTATCTTCTTCCTTGATCATATGGGCTACAACATTAGCCCAATCTTATTTCCGTATCCGTTCCATTGCGAGTTCTAATAAACGTTGAACACAGAAATTTTATATGTCACGTTTTCACGAACTACGTAACCCTTAATTTGAGCCCAGATCAATTATATCAGGTTTAACTCGCAGTGGTACGGAGGAAGTCTCAAAATGGTGATGCCTTCAGCACGAGCTATTGTATCCACCACATGCTGGCGATATATGTCACGATGCTGTTCAATGACACTTATAAACTCGACCTTAACCATGTTTTCGGAAAATGGAATTCCTTTTTGTTCTAACAAACTCTGCATGTCTGCTTTTCTGGTGTTCATAGTTGGCAGCTGTTCTACTAATCGGCTGTGTTAAGAAGTGTTATCAATTACTATTACCGAATTTGGCTCGACCCGTGAAAGAAGGGATTCAAACCGTCCATCAAAGCGTTGGGCGTCCATGTTTTCGTAATGCTCCACCTGTTTTTTTTTTTATGAAAAAATTAGTGCACTATCGTCTAAAAATCCACTCTTGCTACCTATATGGGCGACAATTAGTCGTTGCTCTTTACCCGTTGGTCCGCGTAACCCTGTCGATAAACCGTCCACAAATGCTTGACGATAACTAGTTACAGTAGTATCTTGACAGATCTTAGATACTGTGTGACCAGCATTCACCTACGTTTCGTCCAGATAATAAATCTTTTTGTGAGCAGAACGCAGTTCTGTAATAGAGCGAAGATATCTCCGTCGCCATGAGACTATATCTTCTTTCTATTAAGAGAGATTTACGGGATCGTTTGGCATATACAAATTTTAAATCTTCTTTTATTATTTTCCTTAACTTCTCTTTGGTCATTTTTGGAATGAGATCATTATCCATTACCTTTGTCCTAGTGGATTCAACTACAAACAGACTTATAAAATACTGTTCCCGAGTAGAGAGGACTGTATCCTCCGGGAGAAGGAAATATAAGAGAGTCATAGTTACGACCGCACCGGGCCGGTTAGGCCCCCCAGACGCGCCCTGGCGTTGGATGCGATCGGGTGTGGAGGGGTGGATTTTCGGGAAATCCTTGCGGATACCGCCCCTCACCCCACACCAACAGGGTTTCGCAGGGCTTCCTCCCGCTCACCGAACCCGGAGTTGCCTCCTTACATCTACTTAGTGTAGCTGACCAAGAGACAGGACCATCGGCAGCGTTCGACCGAACGTTCGTACAAGTTAACTATGGCAGAATCTTCCAGGATTAGCTCACTCACCCTTCGAAGCTTGATACCAATAGTTGTTGGACTATAGTAGGGATGAACTACGATATCCAGCAGGCCTTCTTACAGGTCACTGTCATTTGAATCATCATATGTAGATGGAAAATTATCAAACAGCAGAGCACGTACTTTGTGCCTGTCCCGCTGGAGACCAAATCAGGTTTTTAGAGTTCGGCAGAGCCGTATTCTTACCATCTGACCTGAAAGACCACTCACCATACAAACTAATCGGCCTCGTTAAGAAGCTGGGTTTATTTGATCGAGTATGAATAGGTGTGAGCCACAATAAACCCTTGCGGGTTGCGGTGGGGGTCGAATAGTTCCACTCACTTCGGACCTAACTTAACCTATGCGCCGCTTGCGAGAAGCAATACGAAGAAAACGTCCAGTATTGTGGAAAAATGAAACATCGTAATCATGCCGCAGCCACCGTATTCACCAGATTTGGTCCCCTGCGCCGTTTTCCTGTTCCCAAAATTGAAGAGCCCCATGAAAGAACGGCGTTTTGCGATGATTGAGGAGATGAAAACCAAATCGCTGAGAGTTCAAGGACATACCAAAAAGTGCATATTGGAAAAAACTGGCACAAGTGTATTACATCTGAGGGGGGACTACTTTGAAGGGGACAAAATATAAATTGATGAATGAATAGATAACTTTTCATAAAAATAAAGATTTACCTTATTTTTTTAACAGGCTTCGTATTTATACCTAATACAGTATCAAATTCTGTCTACCATTCTCACCTAAAATATTTTTCAGAGAGCACCTAATCAAGAAGAACAAAACCGATGGATGCAAGCAATCATGTCGGAAATAAATCCAACCAAAAATCCACAGAAAATGAGTCACTTCAGATACTCTTTAAAACAGTTTCCAGCAACGAAAGAAGACACCGAACCCTCCACAAACCGTGCTGTATCTTTAGAAGAGCCGTTGGCAGCCGAACACTTGAATGACTCAATTATCCAAAGACTTCAAAAAATTGGAGGTCAGTCCTACGGAAACTCTGTCACAAATACCATCAGTAAAGCAGCAACCCGCCGAGCAGAAACTAAGCAACTACCACGGGAGTTTGTACATAAAAGCTCTGATGATTTGAGAAACTCTGAAATCACCGAAACATCTACTGATTCAAGATCAGCCGAAAACATTTACGAACAAATTCCCTCTGCATTACCTGAAAGCAATCACCGTGACAAACACGGTACAAAAAAATTCCAAAAAAGTTTATCGCTCACACGAATGATGTCAAACACATTTCGAGTTGAACCCAACCACGATCTACCAATTAAGTTCGTTGCAGAAAATGACGCAAGTAAATGTATCATACAAAAAGAGACCGTGTTCTTTTTCAACGAAAATAAACAAACATGTAAAACAAATGAAACTGAAATAGGTGCACTTCCAGTTCGAAACGAGTTTGGTGAATCAACTACAGAGACTGATAGAAAACCAACAGCAAGTAACGAAACAATTGAAACACAAATATCAGTGAATAACAACGAACAGAGTCGTTCAAATAAAAAAAAGAATCTCACAGAAATATCCTCTTCAACAGATAACTCTGGTTTCCTCAATAACAACAAACATTCTTTAAACAGTAACGAGATAAGAGATTTGGAATATTCACAGGAAAAACAAAAAGCAGCAACAACAACGAAATCTGACAGTAACGCCAAGGCACACGAAAATATACTGATGGAAAACGATTTGTACGGCCACGCGTTAAAATACAGAGAAACAAACAAAACTCCTACCAGGAACAATACTTTCTTTTCAAATAAAACACACAAATATTTGTGTAATATTGAGGAACAAGAAGAAAGATCAATATCGTTAGCTAACGCTGACGAAAATAAAAGATCTACTCTAATACAAGAAAATGAAATTTACTCGCTTGCCACAAACACAAGTGACCACTGTTCTATCAGGAACGATCTTTATTCTCTTCCAGTGAAGGAAAAAAAGACAAATATTGACGACGGAGCAACTTTCTGCATTGATAATGATCAGTATGCAGATAGCATTTACTGCGAGGTAAATGCCACTACAGATTACAACGAAAATGATGTTAGTGAAAAAAACTCTCAAGAAAATTTATATTCCATCCCTGATAATCATGAAATCAAAGATGAGAAAGAGACCGTGAATGAAGCAGAATACGCTGAACCTCAATATATCGAGGGAAGTAAAAGTAAAAGTAAGTTGAGCTTCCTAATAAAAAAGAAAGCTAAAAAAGAAACTGACATAGAGGTCAATAAGAATAATTCAAAGTTGAAAAAGAGAAACAGTTTCATCAGGAGAGTTTGGAATAAAAAAGTAAAGCCTAAAGAAAAGGCTGTTGACGGATTTATAGAAGAAAATTTGTATGATACTGTGGCAGAATTAGTTATCGAAAAACTGGCAGTAACCGATGGAAATACATTGAAGATGATATCAGAGTTGCAAAATATACTGGAAATGAAAAAGCCTGTTTTGATTGTGAGTATACACAGTGTTTAGATTTTTTCCCGACATTTTAAAATACAATTATTGATAACAAATTCGCCAAACATTATTCAACTGAAGTGTCAAATAGTTTGAAATAATATTTTAAGGCTTCAAACCTTCCGGGGACTATTGATCCTGTCGGAAATTTGAACAGTTTTTATTTTAACTGTTATTCCATCGGAAGTTCACATGCTATTCTTGGACTTAAAAATAAAAATTCCACAGGCATGAACTGTCTCTCGACAAAAATAATCAAAGCCATTTCTGAGTATATATGTGAAAAGAAATGGTCCATTGTTGATCGACAACTACCGGCCAACTACTTCCATTCTTAACGAAACATAATGTTATTAATAGTAATGTAACAGTTCAGTTTAGTTTGATCTTCCTCTTGAAGATGATCACTTGGTGATCGAAACAAGTGTCGAGGTGTTAAAATAACGATTTGGTGTTGGGAAAAAACTCCAGTAATATTAATTAACAAATGTCAAAATAGAATTTCCAGGTAGATCGACGGAAGGTACGTCTACAACTTTTTTGGAAAATATCTATAAAGGTATCGACAAGGGAAAGTTTGTTGCAATGGGGAATGTTCCTCAATTACACCAAATGCAAGTTTGAACAAAATAAAGTTGAGTTCAATTCATGAGTTTTTCAAATTCACTTCGAAAAGTATTCAAATTGATGTTTCAAATGTTAGGTTTGAATGTTTAAAGGGATTTGTTTCTATTTCACATATTGGCAACAGCGCCTAGAATGCTAGATTGGAGTTCAGGTTAGTAGTATGTTAGAAGAAGAAGAATCATGTCAATAGTGTCACATTAAGGCAAAATATAAATTATAGTACAATGCCACCTCCACAAGCCACATAAACAACAATTGTTTTTGTTATTTATTTATATAGAGGAAGATAGGTTAGATGCACAAAATGTCATATGTCACAGAATGCCTCGGAACATAAGTAAACAGAACAGCACGCCTCTGAAATATGTCATCTTTGTTTGTCTCATACAGGTAACAGATTCATTGTCCTTTATTAGCTATAACCGATGTTGCCAAATGGTGAAATAGAAACGAATCCCTTTAAATGTTGAATGCATTATTTCATTACTCTTTTTCAAGTATTTAAATATTTTTTTGAAGAAAAAGGTTGAAATGATAAGTTTAAAATACGTTCTTTCTTGAAAACTACTTGATTTTCGTCAGGAGGAACATTCCCCATTGGAATTCGAGATAAATTTCTATCTTGGATTATGTCTTGGTTCGCTCAACCAAGTTCGGCAAACAAGGTTCACATATGTTTAGGCCGCTTTGGAGGTTCCAGTTTCTCATTTTTTTTTAAATTATAATAATAAAGTTATGCATTCACACATACATATGTGTATACACACATATACATACACATGTATATAAACTCACATACACATACATATATATGTACCTACACATATATAAATCATTTTTATATAAGAGCATGAATAGTCAGACAGACTTATTCTGGTATAAGACTATTCACAAATCTTATCATACAAATTTAGGACATTTAAACTGAGAAATCAGTAAACAAATAAATGAAATTGGTTTTTCACAAAAAGGATATGTTTTATTTATCGTAGTTTATTTCCTGAAGTATGAATTATTTTAATCATTTTTTGAATTTTACTATATTTTCACAGTTTTTATGTGACCAGGCAATTTATTGAAAGCAGAAAGAGAATCATGATAAAAATGTTTTTGACCATTATAGATTTTGCAGCATCGAGATGAAATAAATTATGTTGCCTTGAATCATGATCATGAATTTCCGAATTTTTTATTAATATCAGGTTAGATTTAATTTTTTTATTTTAATTTGTATTTTTCGTTATATTCTGCAAGTATTTTTTTTATTTGAGAATTAACTTTTCTCTTCTATTTGTCATATTTGTTGAAAGTATGATTGAGAATTCATTTTTTTATTCGTCATATTTGTTGATACTATGATCTTTTTTTTACTTGGTTATATTGACTTTGCACATCCTCTTCTGTATTTCCTTTAGCACTTTATTTTCATCTAATCTTATGACACCATTTTACCTGTCAATCGTTTGAATTTTCCAGAGGACATTTTCACCAATTTGCTGGAAAACCAATTGGAATCCCACTAAATTTTTCATAGAATCCCTCGTACATAAACCTATTTCAACATCAAGTTTTGACTACCCTATCCGACATATTCTCATTTCAATCGTTCACCACGTTTGAAATACATTTGAAATATATTTGTGAACCCAGAGGTCATTCTGATACTACTTTCTGTCGTTCATGAGACAATGTTCTGTGAACTATTTGATTGCTATATCCTAAAAAATGTGAGCTTGGTAAACAAATTAATTCAATGCAGTTTTGATACGGGCTACCCAATGTGGGAAGTTGCAAATCCTCAGATGACCAACTCATTCATTAGAACACAAAACACACTTCCACAAGTATTAATTGATGTTCACTATCCAGTTTGATGTTAGTGCTGATATTGATTGGTTACACACAAACACTTGCCCAATTCTTACTACCTGGAATCGATTTATTGATACAACATTATCTTCAGCATTTTGTATCACCACCGATATCCTATTACAAACTAACAAATTGATTCAATTACAGGAAAAGATTTCAGATACTGTAAATTCACCAACAAGCTCAGTGGGGCCTGAAAATATTTCAGAAACAAGTGAAGACAATAGAAGCCCACAACTTAATTCAGTTGCCAAACAAAATGAACCCTCAGGTAACAAAAAAAATAATTACACAATACACAATCAATAATTAGTGATTCTTCTAGACCAAGCTCTTCCTATTTTAACACCCAAAACCCAGAAACTGGAGAATCCGTCACCTTTCCACGATATTCCGAAAAACAACAAACCAGTTGTACTGCCTCCGAAAAAAACCAAGCTGTACGAGAATATTGATGATATTGATGAAATACTAGACGAACTCAACAATCAAAATAATAACAGGAATAAAGTGAAAAGTCTGATTAAACGTTTCAGTGAAACCGATGTATTCGACAGTGACGTGGAGCTGAGAACAAACAGAAGTACTAGAGAATTGATTGATTCCGATGAACTGAGTAGGCTGTTAGCAGAATTAGCCGAAGTCACTAACGCTCCCATTTTGACACCAGGGGCTACATCGAGTTTGAATGGCTCAAATATCGGGAACGTGGAGGTGAGTAATAGATCATTGAAAACAAACATACTGTCTCTCAACGCGCATTTCGCTAAGCAAGTTATCAATCATCAGATGACTGAGAGGTTCCAAATTCTACTTATCATGAAATGAACCCGTTAATACAAAATGTTGCAAAGCAAAGTTCGCCACCGAGTCTCAAATGAGAACTCTATCTCTCTGTAAAAATCCAGAAACCAGATTTATGTCAGATCTGAGTAATTTTTCATCTTATTTGGCGCTCGATGTTAGACCATTGTCCAATTTATTTATCTTATATGGATAGAGTTTCCATCGATGTTGTTGGCGTCTTATAATGACACAAAAAACACAAAATTGTGTTTTATTTTATTTATTTTTTTATCGATCAAGTTCACTACAGAATTGTTATAAAATCCCAAATGGTACATCAAGAAAGTTTCGATTGTAGTCAGCATTAGAGTTCAGTTATGAACCCAACAAGTAGGATCCTTAAGATAAACTATTAAGATTAAAAATAAAGACATAAACCTATTTATTTTTATTAGTCCAGTACACCACAAATTCTAGATAAAATACCAAATGGAACATGAAGAAAAAAAATATTAAAAATACAAGAATAAGCGTAAACGCATTCAGCACTAATGATCAATTAAATTATAAAACAAAATGTAACTATGTCAAGTACATTACAGAATTGTAACAAAGTCCCAAATGTTACATCAATGTGCAAACAATCCCTAAAGGCATGTACAAACCCTAGAATAGGTTATGATCATTAAAAGAAATAATAAACGACTATTCAGAAGTTAAATGATCAATATCTGAATGAACTCGTCTGGTGGCCATTTTTTTTTCATTTTAAATGTAACCAATGAAAAAGATCATGTTCTGAAAAGTATGTATTGAAATTTTTTTGAAGTCTACAGCTTATTGCCATCGAGCCATCGAGTGATTACTTCTTAAGGTTCTTGAGTTAACAGAGAGGCAAATATCATCTAAAATAGCTGAACAATTGTAGTGGAAGTTTATTATTTTATGAAGGAACAGAACCATTGCAAGTTTACGTCTGTCCTCAAGTAATAATAAATTTAATACATACAGCCTCATTTGAGAGTTAAATCCAAAGTAGGGTAGGCCAAGTTTCCAAATTATATATTCAGTGAAGTGATTTTGCACTTTTTCAAGTCTCTCTTTATGACAAGCATAAAGAGGACACCAAATAACACAATTATATTCTAAAATACTCTGAACCAGTGAAAAGTATAATGACTTTATAGCATCATATTCTGTGATATGGCAGGTATTCCTTTTGATGAATCCGAGCATTCTGAATGCTTTATTACAGATATTATTGACATGATCAATAAAGATCTTTATCAAAAGTAATTCCCAAATCGCATAAGCTTTTGACAGTTTGAAGAGTTACATCATAAATGGAGTAGTTTCCAATGACAGGCTGCTTCATTCTATAAAATCTCAACACATTACATTTCTTAACGTTGACTTTTGAATAATTAGTATCACAGTAGGTACAAAAGCTATCCAGGTAATTCTGAATACATTCAATATCATTGGTAAATTGCACTGTTTCGAAAAATTTAAGGTCGTCTGCATACAGAGAGATATCACAGTGTTTAAACACTGATTTAACATCATTAATAAAGAGTAGAAATAATATAGGCCCAATGTACAAACCTTGCGGAACTCCTAAAATCACATGAATTGTTTCTGACACACTGTCAGCTATCCTCATATTCTGCAATCTACCGGAAAGGTAGGATTCAATAAATTTCAAGTATCTGTTTCAATGACTCTTGATCAAACGTGAAAACTTTTTTATAATGTGCTGATAAGTATTTTTTTTCAGTTTTCTAAATTGTTACCAGAACGGCGGAGACGCCATTCAGAACCTGACTACGATATTCCGAGACCACACAAATCCTTGACAATGTTACCAAAAAAAGAAGAGGATTCAGACAATGTCATCGAATCGACAAGGTTTTTCGGACCAATTTTAAAACCGTGTGATATGGCAGTACCCTGCAACAAGTAAGTTGGAGAATATGTTTATTTACGGCTTGTGAAATCTAGGAAGATATTTGAGAGTTCTCACAACCTGCACATACCCTGACAGGGTACGCAATAAGACGAAAGAGAACGGAAACTAGCGCTCTGTTCGAAAAATAAGGTCAATTTTCATTTTTCTCAAAAAATATAACGGAATTGTGGAAAAACAATTCATGGCTTCTGCACCTGCTCACTCGTCATTACTTGTTCGTATTTTTTGTCCAAAAACAACACCGCAATCATGCCTCACCCACCGTATTCACCAGATTTGCCCCCCTGCGACTTTCTCCTGTTCCCAAGACTGAAGAGTCCCATGAAAGGACGGCGTTTTGCGACGATTGAGTATATGAAAACCGAATCGCTGAGATAGCTGAAGGGCAGATGTTCTCTAGTAGAGCAATAAGTATCAATGTAGAAGACATCAAGTGAAAGGGCATAGTTCTGGATACCCTGATTAAGTAGGTACCTCAAAAAAATGGATTCTACACAATTACATATTCAGTTGACATAGTTATCTTGCAGACCGGCAAATTTGTAAACACACTGTGCGATAGAGTGCAGGATGGGCTCAAATTAATAGAAATATGGTGTAAGGAACACTCACTGTCGATCAATCCCAAGAAGACTGAGATGGTCCTTTTCACCAGGAAAAGAAGTTTATCGGGCTTAAAACCTCCCGAAATCTTCAAAAGTAAACTAAACTTCTCTAAAGACGTGAAATACCTTGGTCCTATCCTCGACAGGAAGCTAACATGGAACTCTCACCTACAAAGTTGAGCAAAAAGAGCATAAGTGGCTTATGAGCAATGTCAGAGGACAGTGGGACGTGCATGGGGTCTTTCACTCCGTGTGGTCACCTGGATCTACACTGCAATAATAAGACCTATGTTAACGTACGGAGCCATTGCATGGGGACCGAAAGTTCTACAAGCAACGGACATCCAAAAACTATATCAAGTACAGCGATTGGCTTGTTTAAACATCACAGGAGCCATGAGAACAACACCAACCGCGGCAATGGAATTAATTACGGGTCTGACCCCTCTGGACCTGTACGTTTAGGAGGTTGCGTTTATGGTCATGGTACAATTGCGCGCGGCTGGCGTTAACCTGGAAGTAGAAATGAGTCAATTGAGTCTGGGCCTATGGCGGGAAGCGCTTACTGCGCTACCTCTGCTTTAGGCAACCAGAGATGCAATTGAACCCAGGTTTGTGTTCAATAAACCCTACAAAATACAAATAAAACAGAACACAGAGTCAGATGCTACAAATGCAATATGCATATATACAGACGGATCAGGATGTGGAGTGTTTTTTTGGTACCTTGGGAGTTGTCTGACTTGTTCATTTAGTCCAAGTCTCCAGAAAACACTGCTGCCTCTTGGGCTTATTGCGTTTATTCTCCCATCTTCTCATGACACACATTCCATCAGTCTCGTTCCCTGTACTAGTTTGTACAGGTTCCGTGTTGGATGTTCGTCATATTCTTCTGGACGTAATTTTGTACGTCCATATATTGCCTGCCTCCTGTGATTCAGTGCCTCACATTCGCATAAGATATGTAGAGCTGTTTCTATCCCTTCGTTGCATAATCTGTAGCTGAGGTCTCCGTTGTACAGCCTCAATTTATTCAGTTGTCCTCTAAGCGAACAATGACCGGTTAGTAACCATGTAATTATTCTGAGCCGATCCCTACTATATTGAAGTAGTTCTTCGGTTCTTTTCTCGGACGGTTCCCTAATGAAGGTTCTACTGTGTTTGTTGCCAGGTACTCTGTGTGCTTATGGTCCATGTCCTAATCTGGTTTCATACCAATGATTTTGGTACCCCCAGGGATGTGGAGTGTACTCCAGATCACTAAGCCTAAGGATTAAGTGAGGAATGGGAAAAAATACCAGCGTGGTCCAAACAGAACTGGCTGGTTTCTCAATCGCCACAAAAGAAATAACCAGGAAAGGAATTTCTGGCAAGCCCTATTAGCCTTGAACAGACAACGTATAACCTCAGGGCTAGTACTAGAGTGCCACCAAGATTTAGCCAAAGCCTCGGTAGATAATAACATTATCCTGAAATGGGTTAAAGGGCACGACAGGAGTAAAGGTAGGAGGGTCGAGGGTAGGTCGAGGGTAGGAGTAAATAGTAGGATTTCTGACTGACCACTGTCAACTAAGGAAACACCTCCATAATATGGGGCTAGTGAACACACAGGAAAAAGATACTGTTAAGCATGTCCTATGCGAGTGCCCGGAGTTATCGTCAATAAGAGAGTGTGTGTTCGACGAGTCTTCGCCTACACCTGCCGATATAGAGGAGATGTCTCCAAGGGACCTGTCCACCTTCCTGGAAAGGATAGGATGGACGATGACCTAGGAGGGCAATTCCTCGGGAGGATGTACAATGGGTCACATGTGGCCTAAGTGCTGTGGACTTACACTCACCCTCTCTACTCTACAGATACAGAGATAGCTGAAGGGCATACCAAAAAGTGCATATAGAACTGCTTCGTGGATTGGAAAAACACTGACACAAGTGGAATTCATCTGAGGGGGACTACTTTGAAGCGGACAAAATAGAAATTGATGAATGAACAATAGAAAAATGAAAATTCCCCTCATATTTTGAACAGACCTTGTATAATTTCTGCTCTATCCATAAACATCACTGAACATTCTTATTTTCTAGGGCCTCTTCTGAAGCTCTCTTCCGACTCAGTAGCATCACGCCGGATTCTTTGGAAGGAAACATTCCACAACGAACACCAACTCCACTGAATTCAAATGACGATTATTGCGAATCACATCAATACTATGAATTCATGGACAGAAAAACGTTCTTGAAAAATCAAAACCGGACAAAATCGCCAAAGGACTGGTCTGCGAACAGTATAAACTCAGACATGATGATTGAAAATGATATTTATGTCGATCCCAAATCGATACGGTTCAATTTCAAAAGGGAAGATGCGAAAACTCATAGTTATGAACAAGGCATTGGGGAAGATGAAGTCTTCATTGACTCTTTGGAAAATGACAACGGCGGTAATCCTGAATCTACGGCACTCTGACCTATACAAAAATCAGGGAGTTTTTGACGCTGTTAATATACAATGCCTTCATTTCAAAACTTCCCACCCTTTGTACTTCGTTTAGCAGGGAGAATTTGCCGAATTTAGGTTTAACCCCCTTACCCCTAGCTACTCCCGCTCAACCCCGTTTAGAAAACTGAAATTGGTTGATCCGTTCTCGTAAAATGAGGCAAAAAGAAAATTAATTATAATAAAAAAATAAATAATAGCTATTGCAACTAAATAAATGTACCTTACTTTATTAGGTGTTCAAAATGTTCACCATTGGTAGCTAAGCAAAATTCCTGTCGGCAAATTCCTGTCGGGCTTTTGTAAATGTTTCGTTATTAATTTGACTGCATGTGTCAGTAATCCTGTGTCTTAGATCCTGAATGTCCTGCGGTGGAGTTTTGTATACCATTGTCTTCAAATAACCCCAGAGAAAGAAATCCAATGGAGTTAAATCCGGAGATCTCGCCGGTCATTCCAGAGCACCTCTTCTGCCAATCCATATGTCAGGATACCGTTGATCGAGCCACTGTCGGATATGCAATGCGTTGTGGGGCGGTGCGTCGTCCTGATGAAAATGTAAATTTTGTTCATCCAAGAGCGGGTTCTCTTCTTCATCAACTTGGCGTTCTAAGGACTGTGTTATGAGTGAATCGATTACATTTTCCAATAAGTTTAAATACAATTGACCAGTTAAATTTTCTTCAATAAAAATAGGGCCAATTATTTCGTTTCCCAAAGTTCCAGCCCAGACGTTTATTTTTTGTGGATAGTGCATATGATCCTCTCGAAACAAGTGTGTATTTTCATTATCCCAGTATCTACAGTTTTGCTTATTGACAAAGCCATTAAGAAAAAAGTTGATTCATCATTGAAGCGAATATGTTTTATTAAATTCGGGTCATTTTAAATTCTCGCAGTCATTATTTCACAAAATTCAGTTCTCCTAGCCTAGTCATAGGAAAGAACTTGTTCAGTTTTAAAACTTTGTGTACAGAACCAACTGAAATATTCACTAACTTCGCGACTTTCGAAATTGAAGTAGTAGACTCAACGGCGAATTGGCCTAAAATCTCAATCTGTGCGGCTTTCGTAAGAACTCTCGGCTGCTTTACTGCTTTGTTGCACACAGAACCGGTCTCTTCAAATTTTTGAACAAGGTCTAGAACATATCGGTGACACATTTTGGCCTGCATGCCTGTCTACGAGCACACCTATCTTCAGCACCATAAATAAAAATAATTTCAGTTCTTTCTTGTAAAGTGTACACCATTACGATTTTTATTACTGTCAGTGCAACTGACACCAGTTGACAAACAGTTTAAAATCAGGAATAACTAATTCTGATACATGTTTTCACCATTTAATTGTAACTGACGCCAAGAAGCAACTGCGTGCCCTTATGTCAGTGATACAGTTTCCATAAATGTTTGCCTTTTGTTATAATTCATTTTCTTTTTGCTCTTTTTTACGAGAACGGATCAACCAATTTCAGTTTTCGAAACGGAGTTGAGTGAGAGTTTTTAAGATCTTTAAAATGATGTGTTACAAGATGGGGGGTGCCATTTAAAATTATTAAGTGGGGGTAGCTAGGGGTAAGGGGGTTAAACCTAAAATACCACTGGCACTGATTTTAAACTTCCCTCTCGATATCTAAATTGACATGTTAGAAATCACACGTTAAAAGGTAAGACCTCATTAATTCCTAGCTCGCACAAGTTTCGACTTCTGGTGGTTGTCGTTCGTAGGGGTGCGAGAGCTGGTTAACGGAAAAACAGATTTTAAACAGATAAACGTGTCTTTTTGTCTACGGCAAATTCTCCCTGCTAAACGAACTACTTGGGGTGAGAAGTTTTGAAATGAATGCACTGTACATAGAAAATGGTAAAAAATATTTCGATCAGGCGACTAACTTATACCAACTCAAAATATATGAACTACTTAGTTATACTGTGTGGAAGCTATTTTCCGGATTTTTTGACCGTGGTCCGCAGGTTTTTGAGCCTGACGTTTCGTCTACCACTGCGGTAGACATTATCAAGGGCGATATGGTAACTTGAGTTGGTACTCAAGTTGTTCTCGTTCCCGAACGCGGTAACTACGATACTGGTATTTGGCTCTGGTTTTATATTAATAGTGGGCGTGGCTTGGTTTCTTTTAATTGGATTACCTGACCTTGTTTAGGTACCTGAAAGGACAGGTAGCCAGATTTAATTAATGATCATTGTCTCTTGTTTTCTCTTGAAATTATTCTGGTTTTTGATTTTCTATTGCCTCTATACTCGTATACTCTTGTCACGACCATGTCGTCACGAAATTATGCAAAAAACTGTCATCTGGATGCTACGCCATTAGGATAATATCACATGAATTGGGTTGTACAGCTGCCAAAACAGCTTATTTTGCTCTTCTTGAAGCTCATAGCCTTCTGGGGTGCAAGTTGAACAAAAAAGTGATGAGGGCTCTCTGTAAAGTAAAAATGCGTGACTCTAGCAGGGGACTTTTCGAAAATGATAGAATCGTCATAGTTATTTCAATCTTTATTTTAGAAACCACTTGCTTGATACACAAGAATCGTAACAAATATATTAGGTACAGTGCCTCATACCCTCAAAACACGCGATTATCGCAAAAATTGAGATTACCTCTACCAAAAAACAATCTTGTTGAGGAATCTCATTTATAATGGACAAACATTTATAATTGCTTACCACTAAGCTCAAGGAAAATTGAATCAGCAAACATATTTTGTATACGTAAATATGACGAAATCAAGGGAACATGTTTATGTAATACATTTATGTAAATACTTCATTACATTTCTGAAATACTTTTAGCCCATATTTACATAAATAATTTATGTGAATATGTCGTAGCTAATACGTAAAAACTTACGTCGATATGGTATATTAGGTTTCACTTATCTCCCAAGTTGTTACTTCAATATTACGTTCGCTATGTTTTTAGGTTGTAACATCCGAGACAGACGAGAATCACTCTTGAGTTTTCGAGTTATATGTTGGTCTGTGTGAAGTTCTGTGGGAGAGGCTAGAGTTTTTGAGACATTCTTATCACGTGATACGTTGAGATTTGTGTTTTTGTTGACGAGTATTTTTTTACAAAAAAAAAATGTGAAAGCGGAGTTTGGTCAGGAAGTTTTGGTTTTTGAAGAATGCTTTTTCCAGTTAATGATTCCGAGTGTTATATTTCTTTATATTTATCCACTGAAATTATATAAAATATATGTAAAATAATGACAATAATGTTACGTAAAAATCAGGTTATATTTGTGACGGACATAACATAGTTACATAACACGTATTATCAGTTATGTAACATTCATGTCAATTTTACATAATTGTGTTTGCTGGGATTGATGAAAAAACATGTTAAAGAACTGTTATTCACTCAACCATTTTACAATATGGAGGAATATTTTAGTAGTGAACCTTTATGTTGCCATTAAAATATGCTTCTCTCCTTATTAGGATCGATTTTAATACTAGCCAGCACTTGGGTTATACATTTTATACATATTTTATTATTATCAAACCTGTATCAGTACCATTTTATTGTTTTTAACATTTCAACTTGTTTTACCGATACAATGACTTTGTCTTTGTTTCTTCTGACATTGAAGCATATTTGATTGATGGATAGTACTTTCGAGTTTTATCGATTATTACTGTTTCTTCCAATGAGATAATGTGAGTGCCTTTTTTTCGAGACCATGTTCGGCTACAGCTGCGTTGTCAATTTGTCTGAGTCAACAATGCCTCTTGTGTTCAGAGTACCTACACCTCTGGGTATCTACACTTCTTTTCATGGTTCTAATATAGACCGACCCGCAGCTACAGGGAATCCGGCATACCCCGGGTGTTGCTAAAGGTTATGTGGGGTCCCTAGACTTTGTCTGATACTTTTTGTTGGCTTAAATATTGGTTTCACGTAATGTTTCTCTAAGATTATCCCAATGCGATCTGTAACATTTATGTTACTATGTTTTTGTTACTGTGTTAGAGAAACACGACGTAAAACCAATATTTAGGGCAACAAAAACTATCAGACAAAGTCTAAGGTCAGCTAAAGACCCCAGAGAACCTGGCATATATCTGATTCCTTATAGCTGCGGATCGGTTCACATTGGAACCATAAAAACACGTGTCGATACCCGTCTCTCTCTTTAACACAAGATAAATTGTCAACTCGGACAAACTAACAAATAAGCTGTAGCCATACATGCTCTCAACAAAGAAGGTACTCACATTATCTCATTTCAATAGAAAAAAACGAGTCAATGAACATTAATAAAATCTGGCTACCTGCCCTTACAGGTACACAAACAAGGTCAGGTAATCCTACTAAGAGAAACCAAGCCATGCCCACTATAATATGAAATCAGTCAAATATCAGCATTCAGAACGGGAACAACTCGAGCTATGCAATTGTTAGCTAATCACGTTTGATAATGTCTATCACAGTAGTAGACCACGGCCAAATAACCCAGAAAATAGCTTTCACACAGTTATCTCCGGCCGTGAAAGTTTACATACTTAGTTATAGTTAGTCAAATATCCGGTTATGCTGTATTTACTAGGTATATATTATCGTTAATATTAGCTCACCTTACGAGTTACCAAATTTTATAACACAAACCAAAGATTTAGAGTACTTTATTTTATTGTTTAATGATGTTTTGTTACTACTGTAATATAATCCTTAGGACAAATTGAAATAAATGTATTTCTTACAATACAATACAGATTCACATTACCTCACAAAAATAAGACAACAATCGTTTGGTCCAAACTCCTCCTTGAACCGAAACTTATTCGTACAAGACGTTTTCAATTTTTATGACAAATTGAAATCAGTGAATTTCTTTCAATAAAATGCAGATTCACATAACCTCAAGAAAATAAGACAATCCTTCAACTCAAACTACTCCTTGGATCGAAAGTTATTTATACAATGACTTTTTTAATTCGAATGGAAAA